GGATGGGGTGATGGTGGGACTCGATGGTCTCAGGGCTCTGACATCAGCAGTGCTGTGATCATGCACAGTAGGTGTGGAGCAGTAACCGGTGCTTTCCTGCCCCCAGCCAGTCGTGTCCCATCACCATGTTCTGGAAGTTTGATTTGAACACAACGTCACACGTGGACAAGCTGCTGGACAAGGAGGATGTGACCCTGGAGGAGCTGATGGACGAGGATGACGTCCTGCAGGAATGCAAGGCCCAGAACCGGCGGCTGCTGGACTTTCTGTGCCAGCAGCGCTGCATGGAGCAGCTGGTCACCCTCATCACCCACGAGCCCCCCGTGGACATGGACGAGAAGGTCCGATTCAAGTAGGTATTGGATCCCTGCTCCCCTGGGACGTGCCAGCCAGGGAGCCCGGGGCTGCAAACACACATTCCACCTGGCCTCCGTCCTGCCACCTCCTCGGGGCAGGGAGCCTTTGAGCACTGGGGATGTTCCAGCTCTTGGGGTTTGGAGGGAATTGGTTTGGTTTTCATGGTTTGACATTGAGTTGGTCTCCAAAAAAATTCCTATTTCAAGTAATGTCTCCAAAAAAACATAACTCAAGTAATGCCTCAAATAATCAAATCTCACATAATGTAAAAAAAAAAAATCTTATCTCAAAAAATCTTATCCAGAGCTCCCAGCTGGCCTGGAAGTGACTTGTCCTAGTGGCTTATAGGGAATGCAGAGATTGGGAAAGATCGTGGTGTAGAAACTTGCTGTTCCCTCAAAATCCAAAGCCCCCTGAATAGGTTTTTATAGGAAAGGGAAGCACAAGAGGTAGAAATCTCTGAATTCAATGGGTTTCCAATCCCACAGAACAAAATGAGCTGAAAAATGAATAAAATCTGGGTTATTTTCAGTGTGCTGCATGTCCAGATCCTGCTGATTTTAGGATCACAGCTGTGGGCAGGCCCTGCCTCTGCTCAGACCACGCTGAGCTCTTCACAGGGGTTTACTTCTCACCAGAGTTGTGTTTATGTATTTTTAACCCAATGTATACTCAAAAATATTGACATTTGGGTTTGGGGAGTTTGTTTGCTTTTGTGAAGTTCTTACAAAGTTTATATAAAAATAAAAGGCTGCTCTGACTATAAATAAATGAAACTGGGCAGGTTTTTCCTGGTGGGGATGGATCAGGGCTGGGGTTGGTGGAAAGCCACAGAAGTGCCACGTTCAGGTGTGGTTTTGGGTAAGAGTTGATAATGGTGTGGGGTGGCTGTTCCCAGGTGAGTGAATGCCCGGGAGTACGTGGGGTAATAACCTGGAATATCCTGTGGCTGCTGTGCAAGGCTCCTGCTCTGAAGGGTGAATTTGGGACCCGCCTGCAGAGCTGCATCAGCCCTGGGGTCACCAGCTGAAGGACCTGGAGCAAGTCCTGGAGCTGCTGCAGGGCTGGAGCCCCTCTGCTCAGGAGAGGCTGGGAGAGCTCACCTGGACAGGAGAGGGATCCAGGGAGAGCTGCGAGCCCCTGGCAGGGCCTGCAGGGGGACTGGGGACAAGGCCTGCAGGGACAGCACCCAGGGAATGGCTCCCACTGCCAGAGGGCAGCCATGGGTGGCATCTTGGCAATGAGCAATTCCTGCCTGGGCTGGCATTGCCAGAGCAGCTGGGGCTGCCCCTGATCCCTGCAGTGC